ATAACCTTTAAAATAGGTTTTGTTGCAATCAACCACCTCCTAAATAAATTTTCACTAAAAATTCAAAAGTAATCTGAAAATATTCAAGTTCAAAATATATGAGTTGCATCCAGACCTAAATACTTTGAATGTGATTTTTTAACAATAATTTTAAATTTTCAGTAAAAAGTTTCACCGGAGATTATTGATCGTAGTAAAAATTCATTTTAAAGAGGAGTTATGTATAAACTAGAAATGAATGATGGTTCCCTTATTATTATCCTATTTTCTAAGTGGTCGCTACGAAAAAACCCCTTTAAAGAGCCCCTTCAATTAGCCTCAAACTATTTTGTAATTAATTTCAATCAAGATTTTCTTCTAGCGGAGAAGAAGAAGAAGAAGAGCTTGAGAAAGCTCTCAATTCTGGTGAGAACAAATTTCCTTTACACCTTTTTGCCTTGGTTCGTTTTACAGTTTTTTTTAATTCCTTTATTTAAGCTGTAAAATGTTCCCAATTTGACCGATTCAAATGGGTCTCTTCCAAAAAATCCTGAACGTGCTGGCAATTGTTAAGGAGGTGTTTGTTTCAAATCCTATAATTTTAGGATATGGATTTCACCATGGAATTTGAAATCCATAGGTGTTTTGTTATGAGTTGGGATTTCTAAAATGTTGTTTGTTTCATTAATATTTTGGGATTTGAAATACTACAATTTGTAATATTTTTGTTTGTTTCAAGCTCAAATTGTAGCATTGCCAAATGCCAAAAATTTGTAATATGATGAATATGCTATCTTTTTTTGACTGAAAACATGGTGAGATACCCTGCATTAAAATATATATATATAAGATGTTTCTAGTAACAAATTACAGATCTGACAACTGATACAAGTCTAACCAAAGAGTGGTAAAAAAAAACTAGACTCAATAAGACTTGCTACACATAAGCACTAGAGAGCATCAAAACAAAACAACAAGTGCTCCAAAATAGACTAAATACTTCAACCTCTGCCAAGCATCAAACAAGACGCGAAAAGCTCCAAAATAGGCTGAGAGCTTCAGCGTCTTCAAAAGGAGGCCAGAAAGACAACAGAGAGGAGGATAGGAGGATCAACCTGCGGTTGAGAAGTTATCACCCACATCAGCATCGCTGTTAGATTGTGCGATATGCTTCAGTCCCAGGTTGATTGCTGCTTGATGGAGCTTAGGTCCAGATTTACTAGTGTTAAAACCCGTCCAAGATAGAACATGTCTAGCTACATTAGAAGCAATGCGATGATGACAGACTTCGATCCCATTAAAGATGAAGTTGTTGCGGCTATTCCATAAACACCAACAGAAGCACGACAAAAGGACTCTCCAAAATAAAATGATGTCCTGATTGATTGCAGAAATGAAATTGAGAGAGATCATGTCTTTCAGGTTTTGAGGCCGATCAATAGATGGGATGAGTGGAAGAAGAAGAGACCACGTTGAAGACAAGATGGCACACCTAGTGAATAGGTGATCATGAGATTCGATGACCTCATTGCAAAGAGGGTAGAGCGGACTACCTTCCCAACCTTTAGCAGCCATATTCTCCCTGGTATTCAACTTGTGCTTGCTGGCAATCCAGAAAAACACTTTAACCTTCAAAGGAGTAAGGGAGTTCCAAATGAATTTGTAGTAGTGAGAGGTGTTAGCCCTTATGTTTTGATGATGTTCTTACAACCACCATTATCGGTACTAATGGCTTATTGAGTGTATATGTAGTAAACTCATTTGTCAAGCTCGTTAGTGCCATTAATGGAGGATGGATGGAATATATGCTACAACGAAGATATTCAAAGGAGGAGGAGGCCAAGAGATGAAGCAACGTTATTTCAAGAACGACAAATTCGATCAAAAGCTTCACCCGATTCAAGCTATAGTATATTGCTATCTATATGAGGATATTAGCTTCTTTTGTTTTTCTCTCTAGTGCTAGAATGTAGGCAAAGAGTTACTGAGTTTACTTGAAGCTATTGGGAATCACACACACGTTTTTAGACTTGTGCTTTTAAGCGTTTTTCACAAAATACTATTTTCACAAGTATGAGTATCTATCTGCAAAATTCTTTTTCCAAGCAGTTTGTTTTTAGTATTAAAAACATTTTACAAAGTTTCAGAATTTTCAGAGGTCAAATAAATATTTTGCAAATATTTCAAGTTGGTCAAATATCAGATTTCAGAAAATATCAGAAATCGGTCGACCGGTCCGGTCGACAGATCCGATGACCTTTCTTCAGTATGTTTCTAGAGTGTCGTCGGTCGATCGGTGCGGTCGACCGAATTTTCAATCTTTAATCGGTCGACCGTGCCGGTCGACCGATGAGTCTCTGCGTGTTTTACCATATTTCCTTAGCTGCTCGCGGTCGACCGAATTTTTCGGTCGGTCGACCGAAGGCATTTTTCGGTCGACCGAAATTTCCTTCGGTCAACCGATTTTTGCCTCTGGTCAGCCGCGACTTTTTTAAACGGTCATTTACATCGTTTACTGTGCTTTCACTTGTTAGTGTTTGGCACAGTCTGTGATGAGGGTCTGAAGAAGAGATTATTATCTCATTTGGGAAGATTTGTTTTTGTTTTAAAATGATTTAAACTTTTCTATATAAACCCCCCAGACCTCTTCTTCTTCCTTAGCCCTAACGTTTGAAAAACCAGAGAGCTTTTTCTGTTTCCTGAGTAAATTTTCAAAACTCTGTTTTTCTCTCTGTTTCAAGTGTGATTCACCTCCCAGCTTCAGTATACCTTCTCTTTGCTATAAGGGCTGTGTAAAGAGAGGTTCTTGCATTTCTTTCTTCTGCTGTGTGAGTGAGATCTGTGGAGATCTACTGTGAGGGAGTGTGATCTGTGAGATCAAACTGTGTAGTGAGAGAGATCTGTGGAGATCGCTGTGTAGACGAAGTTCCGGCTTCCAAACCGGGTGTGTAGTGGATTTCTCCTCGAGAGTGGGGAGCGGGGACGTAGGCCAGAGGGCCGAACCTCGTTAACACATCGCGCGTCAAGGATAACGAACTCCTAACCTTATCTCTCTTACTTTTATCGCATTTCTGTTTTGTGGTTTGCTTGTGCTGATTTTTAATTGCATATTAGAGCCTCTTGACCCTAATCACCCCCCCTCTAGGGTCCAACAATTGGTATCAGAGCTTGGTCTCTATATCAGTTTTTGGTTTAACAACCTTAGAGAAAAGATCTAATGGAGGCTTCTTTGAATATGCATATGTTAGAAGGACAATCCACCACTAGACCACCACTCTTCACAGTTCCACGTGTGCAACCGCATACGAAATTTGGCAAAAATTATGTGTCACACATGAAGGAACACCCCAAGTTAAGGAATCTAAGATTAGTGGACTCATGCATGATTATGAGCTATTTAAAATGCTTCCTAATGAATCTATTGATGCTATGTTTCCCGGTTTACTAATATCATCAATGAATTACATGGTCTAGATAAGCAATTATCCATTCAAGAGATGA